CGTGAGTTATTCATCTTACAATCACCTGCCTTCTATTTTGAAATGGATAGTAGTTCTAATTTAAATCATGAACAAAAATCAATTAAATTGAATATCGTCATTTATAATAAATTGTTGTTCCTATTTTTGTTAATCGTATCGATAACTTTTCTCATACAGAAATACCCACATACAACAAATTCTATAAACGGTAGTTTTCTAGTTTATTTATAAATGAAAAATATTTCACAGTTTTATGTTCGATTAATAATAATTATCATCGCCAAAAATAGATATCTTCATAAAAATCTTTTTGTTATTCTTTTTGCTTGAAAATCATCAATAGTTTCTTTTGATTTCATAACAGCGTCTATTGTTACAATTTCTTCTGAAGAAATATCTGCGACACACATAAAGAATAAACATCGAGTATTATTGTTATTTTTTGATAAGAAATATCGTACAAATCCTTCAAAATCATCATAAACTGGACGCATTCTAAGACATTCTAATCGAGAACAAAATTGAATGAATAATTTTATTTCTTCAAATGAATATATTGAATTAATAGTTAAATTTTTAATTTTATTTCTAGTTGATACTAATTGAAAAATTTCAGTTTGTTGAATTGATAATAATTCTTTCTTATCAAAACATACATCTTTAACAGTCAATGTATGAATATTCAATGTTAAACTTAACATTTCAATCATTGTTTCGACGAGAAATGATTTAACATTGATATTTAATTTAGTAAGTTGTATCAATGGAACAATATGATTGAGAATATTTAAAGAAGGATTTCTATCAACATTAATGCCATTATAAGAGTGAGTCAATTCAGTAGCATTTGGAAAATAATTTCTACAATCATCTTTTATGATTTGTTCTTGTTTAATATAAACATGATGAACAGAATTTATACTGTTCTTCTGATAATTTGATATCATATCTTTGCTTGAATTTCCATATAATGTATAAGATTTTCTTCTTCAAAGCAAAAATTTGATGAACATATGCCATATAAATAATATTTATCTATTATACATGTACGAATTTGTAGAAAAGAGAACTCGATAACAATCATCACTAATTGATTCAAGAGTAAATGTAAAGAACCATTTTCGTTCAAGCCAGAATTGAGTTCGAAATGATTCGATCATAAAAATATCAGCTATATTAACATTTTTCTCTGGAAAATATTCCCATTGAATATCAAATATTCGTAAATATGGCATATAAGATAAAATCAATTTTTTCCCATTGATTTGCATTTAAATATGTTTTATCATTTGTAGATGTAATATATAAAACTTGAAGTTAAAAAAAAAAGATGTTCGATTAATATTTTAAATTGATCAAAAGTAATATTATTCATATTAAGAGATGCATATATCAAATGATTTAGTTTAATTAGACATGAAATTATTTGTTCGTTCGAATACTGAAATAAATTACTGAAAGACAAATGACGAACTTGAGGAATATATGATAAGAGAATAATTAGTTTATGTATATCAAAGTCATTATTTATAATAAGATATTCAATAGGACTATATTCATTAATTGAAATATGTAATGATGATTCCATTAGAAGATAATTGTTGAATGATATTTTACAATATTTTAACATCGACAAACGAAATATTTCATGATATAAATTTTTTGTAATTGTTCCTTCATCTATAGTAGAGATTATTAATGAAGATAAATATGGTAAAGATATTAAATAAATGAGAAGATTTTGAAAATCATTTGATTGAATATCATATAGAATAAGAGTTTCCAGTCGAATTAATTTTGATAGAATACAATTATGCATAAGAAACATATCAATAGAATAATGGATTTGATAGATGAAATAATTTAATTCGATGTGTATTAGGTATAATAATTTGTTGATAATACTTTTGAAAATCTGTTTTAGACACGGATGACATATCAATATTAATAGGAAGAGTTAAATTTGTTAGAAAATTTTGAAAATGTTTATTAAGATTAGAGAATGCATCGTATATATGTCAAAAATCAAATATTTCATTAATGATATCACTTGAAAGATCTTCAAAATGAATTATAGACTTCGTCAATGAACTGAAAAATACAAAAGATTATTTTTTTAAAAAATATTCTGCAATAAATAACTTGTTTGAATCAACTGTTGTAACTATACAAACAAAAATAAGATAATATGAAAACATTGATTAAAACTTACCGTTTAATCTTTTTCGTTTACTATCATTAACATAGTTACTTTGTAATCGTTTTGGATATTCCATATTGAAATAATGTATAATCTATGAAAAACAGACGAGAAAAAAAAAGAACACAATAAAAGAGAAATGAAATAAACAAAAAAAAAGTAAAAATCTAGAAAATATCGATAATCAAAAAATAAAAAATAAACGAAGATGAATGAGAGAAAACGAAGATTGTCCATCTGTAATATATCTTTATAGATGGCGATCCTAACAAATGTTTTACCTGTAAGTTAATCAAATGCATAGAATATATTTTTTCATGTAGACGAAATAAAAATTGTTCGATAATTGGCAATTTTTGAGTCATCTACCATATGTTGATGTACAAGCGATGATATAGTATGTTTATAAGTCTTACCAACTACTAAAGCGAATGAGATTTTTATCAGTGAGTCAAATAAAAATAGATTTCTTCGATATAAATCAAAGACAATTATACGAAAAAAAAATCAAATGTATTTTTCATGCATATATGATTGTGAAATATTATCTGTTGTGTGTTACTCCATGTTTATTATTGATATTTCTCGCTATCAATCAAAGACAACTTGAAAGATGTAAAGATTCTTGAAGTGAAAAGTCTAACATGTATTGGCGTTTATTTAAAAATACATGAAAATTGCATGTTTGATTAATAACAATTCTCATTACCATAGATAAATATTGGCATAGGACAAGTATTTTATTTTCTTTGTCAGATAATCATCTGAACTTTTTCTTGGTTCGATAAAACTATTCAATATACTAACTATGTTCTGACATATATTTGTGACACATAAGAAGAATACATGTCGAGTTTTTGATATTATTTTTCAATAAAAGATATTGTTTAGTTGTTTGAAAATCATTCTTTGATGCACATAGATGAACGAGTTATTAAATTTTTGCTAATGTATATGCCTTTGTCATAATCAAATCAATTATACTACTATTATCTTTTTTTTTATAATAATTGAAACATTTCAGTTTAAATTTTTGCTATTCAAATATGCGTATAGTCAATTGTCAAGTTATAAATATTAGATGATGAACATAACAGTTCAATCAGTGTTTCAAAACGAAAACGTCTAATATTGATGTCTTATTTTGAGAACTATTCTAAAGGGACAATAAAACTTGAGGGTATGAGTATAGATGTTCTAGTAGATCATAATAATACCTACATCCACATCCTTACTTAAAGAGTAAAATTTTTTATGGAACAGAACTAAAGAAATTCTGGGCATTTTACTATTTTTTGGGAAAATATAGTAAACAGAGAATTTGGAACTGAAATATCTGATTCGATAATTATAATATAGAATTTATAGGGAGTATACGACTAATCTGAGCCTTATTGATGAAATCAGATAAAAAAAGAAAGCTTTTCCTTTGATTAAAATTATAGATCTTTAAAATCAATAGAATTATAAATCAGCACAAAAAAATGGTTATTAACACAATTCCTTTCGAAATGAAATAGGGAATTCTTCTATATTTTTCAAACCTATGAATGTTTGTTGTACTTTTCTTATTTTTCTTTTGCATCTACTCTCACATTCGTGTTGTTTTTATTTGAAGTTATTAATGTTATTTATCATCCACTTTGTCAATCACAAGACTGTCACAATAATACAGATTATATGCATTAGTAACTGTCACCAAACTACTATAAAATACATGATTGCTATGACTCTTGAATATATACATTAGTTCTTGTCATTCTTGTTTTTTAACATATACTAGATGTTTTTAAATAATTATGAAAGTATTTATATGTTGCATAGCAGTTGAATTCGAACACTCCAGAAAAGCTTTTTATTGTTAAATAAATCTAAAACGTTTTCTGTGCGACTGCTAAAATCTGTAAAGAAAAGAGAAACCAAAAAAACTTGAACGTGAAACTTTCGTTGACTATTTTCTTCAAAAATATACTATAAGTTCTATAAAATCGAGTTACAAAAGCAGGTATTAACTCTAATTTATAAAGTTGTTTTCATAAAATCTCATTTTTTCATGTATCTCTGCTAGATGTTAGAAGAAGATTTTGACAAAAAAAAAAAATTCGAGGAAACATATTGATTTATAAGCTAGTTGACTTATCTTTTTTGTGCTAACTTCAACTATAACATTATTAAAACATGAAAGACAAACTATTCTGCTCGAAAAACATTAAATATTGGTATCAAACATACTTTTTTTGTGATTGTGAGTATTTGAATCTCAAGGCAAAAATCATATACTAAGATTATATAGAATTTTATATTCAGAGGAAAAAGAAATAATGCTAACATACACAAAAAATGAACTTTTTAAAGCCATTCAATACTTTATGTGTTTCTTATTATCCAAGTACTTTCGTAAAGTTATAATTATAATATTTGGAATAAGCACACTTAGACTTATCCTAAAATGAGAATTTGAAACAAAACAACAAGGAGAATTGTTTTTTGTAATATGTAGAATGGATCCCAATCATGAAAAATGTCAACATCTATTATTGGAAAGTACAATTAAAAAAGATGAATACACTTTTTATGTAATTGTAATTCAAAGAGTTCTTATCGATACACCGAAATATTTCTATAGAAAACTAAAACCTACACTAAAATAATGTCCTAATAAAAATAATTCTGAATATAAGTACTGACAAGCGTCTTTTTTTCAAACAAAATATGTTGTTAATTTACATCTGCAATAAACTTTGAACTACGTAGATATCAAGCATTTTATTGTTTGTGTGAGTACCGATATTAATAGAGAATATATTCAATACCATCTTCAGATCGACACCCTCAAAATCAACAAAGTTCAATAATAGTTTCAAACAGAAACTAACATGACCATATTTTAAAGTAATTATTATTGAAAGATTTTGTTATTATCTTCAATATTAAAGCATACTATATTGAAAAGCATTACCCTAGAGAAAGTACTGAGTTCAGGATACCCATGTACTGAGAAAGTTCTAGCAGAATATCTGAAATTAGTTGCGTTCTCTGTGGCGACTATTCATTCATCGTTTTCTTTGTCATGTACAGTTCTATATAAATAACTCGATAAATCATATGAAAATAATTAATTTTCATACTAAATTTTTTAAAAAGTATTTCTTGACTATTTCTTAGTCGAGATAATGCCAAACTTGGTCAAAAACTAAGTTCAGACGACTCTGAAGTGATCTATGTTCAACTCAAGTTGAGTCGAATCTCGATACTGTTCTTGCTAAGTTTTTGAAATAGAAAAATGTGAATAGAATAAAGTCAAAACAAAAATCTAGTAAATTACCTTAAGAAAAAATTTTAAAGAGTCAAAGATCAGGTTCTTGAAAGTTTGGTAACAGAGCACTTAGAAATACTCTACAATAGTACTTAATTTAGTACTTGATTAGTACTTTCAGAGATCCAATTAGTGTCGATTTTCCAGCAGGATACTTGCCAAAGTATCTCTTAGGTACCTGTCAGTACCTGCTTATACATTGGTACTCAAAAGTTCCTGTGACATACTGATATCAGGGTAATTTTTTCGGTAGCCATAACTCAGCGTATTTTTTAGGATAGGAACTAAAGAATATTTAG